GGGGGACCGGGGGGGGGGGCGGTTGGCCCAGGCGCCAAATTTTTAGGGGCTCTGCAGGAAGGTGGTCCTCCTGTACCGGGCCGATCAGGTCAATAGGGGGGCATGGAAGCTGCCTCTGCTCCGCAGCTCTCTCCTCACCTCTGGTAGCCGGCTGCATGCTGTGGTCTGTGTCCCCTCCAATCCCCGCTACTCTCCCTCATCTGTATCGGAAGAGGCAGAGGGGATACAGAGCTGATCCAGCTGCCAGTGCCCAGTGGGAAGGAGGGAGCAGTGACAGCAGAGTCAGAATGCCAAGTGGGGCTGTCAGGATGAAGAGCAGAGCTGTGTGGGGCCGGACAGAGCGGAGGATCAGCAAATACTGATCACTAGGTGTTTGTAAATAGCTGACGACATAGTGAGCTTACTATGTCCCCAGTTATGAATGAACAGGAAGTGCTACACATCACATCCTATTCATTCATGACTGGGGTACATAGTAATCACTTACTCAGTTTCTGAATGGACTGGAGCACTCAGTACAGAGGCTGCCTGTCCATTCATACCTGGGGAAAGTACTATGCCTCCTCAGTTTGTGCATGAACAAGGTATATGAAGGTCTGCAAGACCCTTGCTACATGTTTAGGCCCCATTCACAGGGGCTAATCAGTAGCAGTACTGATCGGATGTCATTGCTGTGGCATCCACATCCATCCAGTTTTTTCCTCCATTTTGCAAACCCATGTTGGTCTATGGGGAGTCGAATGTAAACAGACATGTCTAGTGAAACAGAATTTCAAGTTCCATTTGCTTTTCTAGACCTGACCGGAGTTGGGGGTAACTGGGTGTTATCAGACACGTGTCTGTTTAGACCTGGCTGCCCATATACTACCATTAAGCATCCGAGTGGGTCCACCCACAAAACTGACAGACGGATCCGATCGGACTGCCTGTGTGAAAGGGGCCTAAATCAGACCCAAACTATAGAGCCCGCGTTCATACTGCAGTGTGCATTACTATGTGGCCACTGGTGTGCTCTATGAAGGAAGTGGTTCAATGCGCTTATTACAGTGCACGGCACTCTTTCTTATGAAATGTCACAAAGGTGTGATGGTCAAATATTGTCAAATTTGTAGCCAAATATTATACCTTCAGCAGTGTTTAGGGCGACCCTCAAGAAACTCTATTTTCTAAATACTGCCTTCAGCTAAGTTGGTACTATGGGCTGTCCCTTCTGTGTCTTTATATTGGCCATCTAATGTGATGACTCTATCTAACCCATAGTAAAGTAGTAGGGGGTAGGCATAATGAGGGGAATTTATTTAAGCTGGCCATACACTGTGCAAATTTCGGACTGCTATTAATGAACCCGTCGAAACATGTACAGTGTGTGCTGCTGTTGGCACCCTTCTGGCCAGCATGCCTTGATCAGAAGATGGAAGGAGTCAGATGGAGAATCTTTAGCCAATCAGCTGCAATTTCTGTTCAGGTATTTCTTTCAGGCCAACGACCGCTGTCAGAATACAGTGAAAACTCATAAACGTAGATGAAGGAATCTGTTATATTTTCTTCATTCAGCCCGCAGGTCGAATGAAGAAAATATAACAGTGTATGGCCAGCTTAATGGTGGCCATACACTGTACAACCATCGCAAGACCTTAGTCTTGCGATGGTTGTAAAGGGATTAAAAAAACGTACGATCTGCCCATCTTGGACAGTCAGATCGCACTCTCGATCATCACAAGCCACGCCCCCAGAGGGGCGGGCTTGCGATGACTGTAATGAGGGGCGGGCTTACGCTGACTGCAAACGGGCAGTGTGCGCGTGCGCACACTGGCCCGTTTGGCAGTTGTCGAACCAGCAGGCCACCAACTCGCCAAGAATCGTACGATTCCCGGCGGGTTTTCAAACATGCTGGTTCGATGGAAGACGTGCGACCGTACAGTAGAAACGGTCGCACGCCTTCCATACACTGCACGATTCTCGTACGATCGCGGGATTTCCCGCAATTCTCGTACGAGAATTGTGCAGCGTATGGGCACCTTAAGACTGGAGCAAACCAAATCTGGAGCAGCTGTGCATGGCAACCAATCAGCTTCTAGCTTTCATTTTCAAAGCTTAACTGAACAAGCTGAAGAGAGTAGCTGATTGGTTACAATGCACAGCTGCTGCAAAATCTGCCTGCTTCAGTTTTAGTAAATCCAATCCAACTGATTTACATAATAGAGCACCCGGAAATGTAGGGTTCCCTCGGCATTCTAGTTAAAAGTATGTGCAAGTACCATTGGGTGCCTCCACTAACATTGGAGGTGTTTAAATTCAGCACGCTTGACTATTCACTTAAATATGTATTAGTTAAAATTGAAAAAAAAACAATGTTTAAAACATTTTGGTGTAAGGTGTGTAATTTGTTAGCCAGGACAAAGGCAGAGCACTGCATTGAAAGGAGAATCAGACCAACATTGCTTTACTAGCAAACATTTGAACACTCTGTAATGCAGTAGATGAGACCCATTAGTGAAAACATTACAGACCTTGCTCTAGGAACATGTCATGTTCCAATCCAAATAAATAGCAATATGGTACATAAAATGATAACAATTAATAATAATTATAAAGTCAAAACCAACTTCCACACACAATGGATGAATTACCCTTTAAAAGAGGTACCGGATATTGCAGATGTAAAAATTTTATAAGGAGCGGGAAATGTTAAAGTGTATTTCCACTTTTACATTAAAATTTGAGAATTTGAGAAAATCTCCTCCTACTAGATTGTAAGCTCTCATACAGCATATGGAAAAATATTATTTGAAGGCCTTTGGGCAAACTGCAAGCTATTATGAGAAAATTTAGAAGTGGAGAGGGACAAAGTTGGGACATATTC